GGGGGCCGGGGGGAGCGGCCCGGCCTGCTCTGCAGCTTCAGCTTGTCGTAGCCGCCGAAGCCGGTGAGCACCAGGCAGCGCAGCGGCGGCGGCGCGGCGGCGGCGGCCCCCTCGGAGGCCGCGGGTGGCTGGGCGTCGCCCATGGCTTCGGCGCTCGGGGGCTGCGAAGAGACGTCTTCTGCCGGCCCTGCCTCGGCCGCCGCCACCACGGTGGCCACCTCGGCTGCCTCTCTCTCGGCGGACATGGCTGGGACTCCCGACGTGCGCGCACAGCTGGGCTTAAGGGTGCACAGCTGGGGAGGGCGGGGCGCGCGTCCGGACGAGCCGCGGCTGTGGACTCGGAGGAGAAGGGGCGGGGCGCCGGCCCAGGGGCGGGGCCTCGCGCGCCCCCTTAAAGGGCCAAGGCCACAGTGCGGGTGCTGCGGGCGCGAGAAAACTGGAGACTGGCACCTCTGCGGACAGACGGAGCGAGGGCAATTCTTGGGGTCATGCAGATCGCGATTTAATTTGTGTGTTCATCATCAACCTTACGCAAGTTAAAATATTTGTTAAGGAGCAGTCTGAAGGACGATCTCAAAATCTGAGCTGACTTCAAAGTTGGAGAGCTAGCCACCTGTGGACCGGAACCCAACCAAATTGTTCTTCAGACTCGGACTCTACCCTTATGTGACCCATTCCGAGGGGTCTATCAATGGCAAACTTGGAGCAGGGAGATAGAGTCTTAAAAACTTTCCACTTGATTTTGTTTATTAAAGCTCTGTGCTTCAATTTTCCCTTCTGTAAAACGGTAAGATACTGCTTGATAAGGGGTAACGATAAAATTAAATCGAGTATCCTCGATGTAAAGAGCGCTTTTCAAAAGTAAAAGATGTCATACAAAGGCCAAACAGAAGCTCGATTATTGTTAGATTCCGGGTCAAGCCTGAAATGACTTTAGAGTTTGTGTCTGGCTCCAGCAGGGCTGTCACTCTGGGCAATTTGATCTGCCTCTTCTTCGCTCCCCATCTCTGTCTCCCCGAAGTATCCACCAGAGGACGCAGCTCCCCCAAAACTTTTCACCCTGCGCTTGGCTGAAGAAACTCATTCTTGCTTCTCACCTAGTCCAGGCCCGCCGTTAAGTCACCACAGCTCCAGACTAGGCCTCCCGTTGCCATGGGGACAGAAAGCCATGACGTCACCATTTTCCTGGTGGGGGTGATGGAGTCCATACCCTCCTAACCCCAAGACTCTCCGCATATAGGAGGCAGACCGAACCCTAAAGTCTCCTTTCTTCCCCCCCACCTCGCGCCTCCTGTTCAGGAAGTGGATGGTTGCCCCCGCGCGTGTCCGCAGTAGCACACCGGCGTGCACGCGTGGGCACGCAAAAGGCCCGAGCCTCGTGCGTGTGCTGATCCCACCCAAGGCCCGCCCGCCCCAGCCCCAAGAAAGTCAAATCGGCCAAAAAGCCCGGATCGGCCCGCCCCACACAGCGCGCTAGAACTCAGCTCTCTCGCCGGGTTTCCCGGGGTCCCGCCTAGCTCCCCGGGGCCCCGCCTCCCGGCTGCGCGGGCGGGAGGCAGGAGGCGGGGTCGGGCGCGCGCCTGCCGGTTGGGGTCTGGCAGAGGGGGGGGCCGCGGCCTGGGGTGGGGGTTTCGCGGGGCCCGCGAGATGCCGGTGTCGGCGGCGCCGAGCGGCTGCAGCTGCAGCGGCGGGGGCGGCGGCAGCGGGGCCCGGGAGGGGGGCTCCGCGGGGGGCCGGCGTGTAGCCGGGACCATGGAGGGGCAGAGCGGCCGCTGCAAGATCGTGGTGGTGGGGGACGCGGAGTGCGGCAAGACGGCGTTGCTGCAGGTGTTCGCCAATGAACGCCTACCCCGGGGTGAGGGGCCGGTGTCTTGGGAGGGGGGAGCTGAGGTCGCGGGGGGTGGGTTGACTGGAGCCCGGGGGACGGGCAGAAATGGGTACTGGGGTTACCAGGGACGAGAGAGAGGCATGGAGGACGGGGGGGGGGGTGTTGGGAGCTCTGGAAGGACTGCAGAGGATTGGGGTGGGAGGAACTGGGGATCAGGGTGAGATGATTGGGGTTTGGAGGAAGCAGAGGATCTCGGGAGGGGTGCTAGGGGATGGCGGGGGTCCTGGGCGTCGGAGAGGGGACGAACTGGGGGCTGCGAGGGCTGGGAGGGGGTCTGGGCGCCTAGCAGAGATTCCCTGAGGCAGCCGCTCTCAGGATCTCCCCTTTGCCCCACACCAAACCAACTTGTGTCCAGGGGCTGGGCTGGACAGGGTGTGGGAGTAAGGAGGGCATTTGTCTGGAGTGAGGACTGGAGGATCACATCTTACCCATCCGTGTCTGCAGAGTTATGTCCCCACCGTGTTTGAGAACTACACCGCCAGCTTTGAGATAGACAAGCGCCGCATTGAGCTCAACATGTGGGACACTTCAGGTAGCCAACTCCCTGGGGTCACCCTGACTTCCAAGGCCCCCATCCGGACCCCTCCCTCGGCTAGACCTTTAGGCTTCCGCTCAGCCCATCCACCTAATTCTAGGAGGAAGGAAAACCAATCTTCTGCTTAAAGCCAGAGAAACTGAGGCAGAGCTTGCAGACATGCATAGAAACCATGCCCTGAAGGAGAAATGCCCGGTATCCAATCCCCTCCGCTGAATTATGCCTCTCTGGGAAAGTTGAGAAGCAATGTTTGTTATTTGGGAACATGTTTTTTTAGGAGGTTGTACTGGATTTAGGAAAGACATTTAGAATTTCTTTGGGTATGGGAACGACTTCTCTAGACCGAGCTATGGAAATCTGAGATCAAGTCCCAAGAGGATGGGAGAGCTCTCCCCCTTCTCCAAAAAGGAGGAGAGTTTTATTTTTACTCTGGTCCCCTGGAGGTCATTAGAAGATGTCTGTCAGGGCCCAGAAAGCACACGCAAAATTTTGTGAGACTGTCCAGAGATTTCGTGAGCTTCTCAGACTCTGAAAAGATTAAGGATGCTTACTTTCAGAGAAACCCCTGGGGAAGTGGGGAGCTGTTTCCTGCCATCTAACCTCCCCTCTGCCTGTCCCCGCCTGGGAGAAACCTAGGCTCCTGGATGGCGATTAATAACGGCTCTTCCTGTCCCCGATCCTAGCCTCAGGGCTCCCATTCCCTTCCAGGCCTTCCACCCACTCAGGACCCTTGTCTGCCCTCTCCCCTCTGTCTTCTCTCAGGTTCCTCTTACTATGATAATGTCCGGCCCCTCGCCTATCCTGATTCGGACGCTGTGCTCATCTGCTTCGACATCAGCCGACCAGAAACACTGGACAGTGTCCTCAAGAAGGTGGGAGCCTGGGGAAGCGGGAAGTTAGACTGAGGGGGACCAGAAACCACGGTTCTGATTCAACATGAGCCATCAACTGGAGAGTGTGTGAAGCTCTCATCCTCCTCCTCCCCCTCCCCCCCAGCCCCACTCCTTTCCTAGAAATCAACCCTCAGAGCTGGGCAGGGCATCTGGGGGTGCTGGGGGAGAGCAGGGAGAGGTACTCAAGAGATTCCGTAGCCACCCTCCCCGTCTTCTTGGGCGTGGGAACCCCAGATGGACTGGATGGGAATGCTGCTCTCGGAGCTCAGGAAAGCACTGTGGTCTCCTCCCCAGGCCCCTATTTCCATGAGAAAAGCCTATGGTGAAAGGCCAGAAGTCAGCTAAGGCAGCCCCAGTTCCCAGGTGGGGGAGGGGCGGGGAGGGCGGGATTGGTCTGTTCCCAGACACAGACTTAGGATAGGGGGTCAGAAAGGGGAGGCTCCAGGCTGGCAGAAGCTTCATGTTAGACGCAGGGCACAGACCCTACAGCCCCACCTCAGCCCTCTCCTCCCTCCACTTCTCCCACACCCCATCCCTGCTTTCAGCCCAAGCCCACCATTCCCACCTCCTTGCTCACACAGGAGCGTCCAGAGGGGTGTTGGTTTCTGATGCTGTGATAAAGGGGGGGGGGGGGCCTTCTGGTGTGGAGCACGGTTCACCACGTGCCTTCTTCTACCCCATCCACAACTCTATTTTCTCTCCCCAAATAGTGGCAAGGGGAGACTCAGGAGTTTTGCCCCAATGCCAAGGTTGTGCTGGTTGGCTGTAAGCTGGACATGCGGACCGACCTGGCCACGCTGAGGGAGCTGTCCAAGCAGAGGCTGATCCCTGTTACACATGAGCAGGTGGGACTCTTGGCCTTTGACCTCATCCCTGCCTAGATCTCCCATTTCCGACCCTCTCAGTCTCCGATTTGAAAACACCCTATTTTGTTCATCCCTTGTCCTGGCCTCTAACCTCCGGCCTGATCCCTTGACCTCCTCCCCTCCCCCAGCCCTCTGCCTCCCTGCCCCTTGCTGAAATGCATAACTTCCTTCATGCACTCCATCCTCGCAGGGCACTGTGCTGGCCAAGCAGGTGGGGGCCGTGTCCTACGTGGAGTGCTCCTCCCGGTCCTCTGAGCGCAGCGTCAGGGATGTCTTCCACGTGGCCACAGTGGCCTCCCTCGGCCGTGGCCACAGGCAGCTGCGCCGGACTGACTCACGCCGGGGACTGCAGCGATCCACTCAGCTGGCAGGAAGGCCCGACCGGGGGAATGGGAACGAAGGCGAGATACACAAGGATCGAGCCAAGAGTTGCAACCTCATGTGAGGAGCCGGGGAGGGGCAGAGCGTCAGGAGGGGTGGTGAAGGGCACAACTGTTCCCCTGCCTGCGCCCTGGCTTCCTGACCCCCTGACTGGCTGGAACTTCAGGGCAGGTTGAGTGAGCAATTCTCCTGGGCAAGGGACCTGGAGGCAGAGGGTACCATCATCCCCCACACTCTCACCCCCTCCTCTCCATAGGAAGCTGAGGGAGCTAGCAGAGCAGGCATCTGGCTCGGGAGCTCGGACGGGGCAGGGGGTTGAGGGAAGCTGGCATCGAGCGAGCGGTGACCTTGGTTGAGTCTCAGTATATGAAGAGTGCCTTCCCTCCCTGCCCCCAGGCCCCATGTCCTGGTCCTGGCTTCCTTCCCTAAGGAAAGTGTCCATTCCATGAACTTCCCTTTTCCTCTCCTCTCACTTCTACAGCTGTGCTCACTCACCCTAACCTCCAGGCAACATGCACTAAATTAAAAAGCAAGTTAAGAAGCCCTTCCCCCCCTATACCCACCCGTCCTAGCTCCTCCCTCGCTTCCCCAACCGTCCCCAAATAAAGCCCATGTCCATGGAAAACGGCTGTGGCTTTAGTTTTGTGGCTCTCTAAATACCAGTCTACCAATCTCCAGGAGCAGGAGGGAAAGTTAGACTTCGGGAAGAAGCAGAGGAAGTCATGGGCTGGATGGGGAGTGTCCTTTTAGGAGCCAGAGGTGGGGAAGTGAGGTATCTTGGGAATATTCATCTCAGTTAATGAGCCAAACAATCCTGAAGCCATTAGGGGGTTTTAAAGTGGACTGATGTGCAATTCATTACTCAACCCCGCTGGGGCCCCCTGCTCGAGTGGGAGGGGTCCAGCTGAAGTGGTCCAGGCCCTTTGCTCACCATCTCCATACACCCCCACCTTGGAATCTGCTGGTGCCCTAAGGGTTGTGGGGGTAGGGAGAGCACCAAAAGCCCCCACATTGCAGAAGCTGACCCTGACAGAGGGACGTTTCCCAAGGGGACAGAGGTTTGAGTCTGGAGTCTCCTTGGAGGCGGGCAGGGGTTCTCACCCTCTTTCCATCCTGAGCTCTGGATGATTTTGGAGGGAGCCTCAGCTGAGTTTAGGGTCACCCCCTCCCAACCCCCTGTTGAAGGAAAGCTGGTGGAGGGGCTGGCTGCAGCACTTGTTGTCAGGAAAGACAGTGCTGGTCTGTTTTCTCGGGAGTCTGGTTTCACATTGTCCTGTATTCCCTCCCTGGCTCTGGTCCCACTGGCCTCTTTTCGGTGACATTCTCCCCCAGGAACCGTCCCTGGCCCTCCCCTCCCCCAGCCCCAGACAGTTCTCCCAGACACACTCTGGGGGAGAACACAGACCTTACCCTCCCTTCTGGAACCGCCACCCCCAAATCACGGCCCATCCCTCCCGCATTCATTCAGCAAATATGTACTGAGCACCAACTGGGTGCCAGACACGGGCTTGGGAGATGAAGGGACCAGCCTATCTGCTCTGGGGACCAGACTGTCAGGAAAAAGAGGTGCCCCACGTGAGACAGTGCCTGGGCTGTGGGAGCTCCTTACAGCCTCGGGAGCCAGTCCCCTGAGCCAGGTCCTGAGGGTGGAAGAGGAGTTTTCCAGGCAGGAAAGGGGTAGGAGAAGCGCTCTGGACAGAGGGTAGAGCAAGTGCAGGCATATGGCGATGAGAAACAACATGGCAGGGCCGGGGCTGCCATGGCGGGAAGGGCAGAAGACAGGCTGGGAAGGTACATTAAGGCCACTGCAGGGTCCACAGGGGAACCAGGACTTCCTTCTGAGGGTGTGAGGAGGCACTAGGGGCTTCAAGCACAGAATGAAGTGACCAGATTTGGGTTTGGGGGTAGATGGGTCATCTGGATGCGGTGATGGGGGCTGGGGGTTTGGCTCTGAGATGTATCATTTAAAATAGCTTCTCCTTTCCCTATGCCAGGGCCCAGCCTTGAGTGGAAAAGAAATCCCCACCCACTCCTGGCTCATCAGACTCCTCTTTCCCTCCCTCTCCTAAGGACCCTGTCCTGGCCCATCTCAGCCAATCAGACACCTCTCCTCCTCCCTCTCCTAAAGGACCCTGTCCTGGCCCATCTCAGTCAATCAGACACCTCTTTCCCTCCCTCTCCTAAGGACCCTGTCCTGGCCCATCTCGGCCAATCTCCTTCAGGATTCTGGGACAGCTTAAGGGCATAGGATATCCCACCCTCTGAAACCGTGACCTGGTTAGAGGCTGACTCTGAGACCCTCCTCAAGGACCCTGAGACCTGGGTTAAGGGTTCTGGGAAAGGCCCATCTCTCAGCCTGGTCCCAGAGTCTGAAACCGTGACCTGGTTAGAGGCTGACTCTGAGACCCTCCTCAAGGACCCTGAGACCTGGGTTAAGGGTTCTGGGAAAGGCCCATCTCTCAGCCTGGTCCCAGAGGACTGACTCTTCCCCCACAGGGAACCGCCATACCATCAATTTAGGATTTGGGGCCTCGCGGCTTCCCTTTTCACTTTGGACTTTGGTACCAAGCAGGCTCAAGCCTGTGGCTGCCAAAGTGCAGTGTTTGTGTCCCTCTCTCCTCCCAACCTCCCGCTCCTGCCACGCTGGCGCTTGGGGAGTGCACACGCATTTCAATATCCGCCTAAAGCAAACATAATTAGGAAAATAAATCAGCTGGAGGAGCCCCCAAAGTTTAATACATTTCCAATGCCACTGGCAACAGATTTTGGTCCCCTCTGCAGGTCTGGGTTGGCAGACGTTTTATTTCCGGGGAGGGCTGCACCTCTGGACTAAGGAGCCCAATAGGTCGGGGGAGGGAATGGGTCCGGGGAGGCAATGGGGCTGTTGTTGATCCTCAAAGGCCCCTGCAGGCTGGAGGGAGGGAACCTAACCCCCACCCCCACCCCCCATCCAAGTTGCAGGAGTCAGACTCAGCTTCCATCTCTGCAGCTGTTTCCCCCACAAATTAGACACCCCTTTGGGAAACAATGTAGCCTCGTTAATCATTTAATGAAATAAACAACTAATCACTGTGATGCTTCCAGTGTTTCTTAACCTCAGCAATCAGCCTGCCCAGGAGGGAGGAGGGGAAAGGAAGGGCAGGGGCAAGGGCAGGGGCAGGGGTTTGGTTTAACCCCTGAAATGCTTCACCTGACAGAGGGTCATCTCCTTGCGACTGCAGCCTTCCCAGCAGGGACAGTCATGTAAAGAGCTTAAGATTGGAGGCAGAGGTTCAAGGGCCTGGGTCCCAGCTCTTCCCCTTCCTCCCTAGGGAGCCTTTGGCAAGGCCCTGCACCTGTCTGAACCTCAGTTTTCACACCTGGAAAAGGGGAGCTGGTCACCACATCTACCCCGTGTTGTTGAGGAAGATTCAGAGAAAGGATGTAGAAAAGCTGTTTGACCCTTTAAAGAAGGCTGAGCTATGTCGACCTTTATTCTTCTTCTTTATTTATTTTTATTTTTGTTAATCCTCACCCGAAGATATTTTGCCATTGATTTTTGCAGAGAGTGGAAGAGAGAGGGAGAGAGAGACACAGAGAAATATCGATGTGAGAGAAATAGATCGATTGGTTGCTGTCTGCACAAGCCCCTACTAGGGCCCAGGCTGGGGAGGAGCCTGCAACCAAGGTACATGCCCTTGACTAGAATAGAACCCGGGACCCTTCAGTCTGCAGGCCGATGCTCTATCCACTGAGCCAAACCAGTTAGGGCTCAACCTTTATTCTTTACAACGTAGTCACCCAGTGCTTCTGAGCTGGGCCTGAGGGAATCGAGAATGGCTTCTTAGAGGGGGCCTCCTGTGCTAGGGATTCAAAGGCTGGAGGAAGGGGAGGTGGCTGTGTCTTGCTTTCACACATATCCTAAGGACTAGAGCAGTGGTTCCCAACCTTCCTAATGCCGCGACCCTTTAATACAGTTCCTCATGTTGTGGTGACCCCCGATTTCATTGTTACAAATTGAACATAATTAAAGCATAGTGATTAATCACAAAAACAATATGTAATTATATATATGTTTTCCGATGGTCTTAGGCGACCCCTGTGAAAGGGTCGTTCGACCCCCCAAAGGGGTCACGACCCACAGGTTGAGAACCGCTGGACTAGAGAGACCCTATAGGGACTCTGAAGGCTGAGGTCTTTTGGTCCTCATTTTTCTAAACTCTCCCCATTACCTATTCTGAAGTCTCTGGGTGAGGACTCCAGGTTACCATGGTGACCCCACCCCAGATACACTCAGATTGGTCCTGAAGGCTGAGGGAGGTAGGAGGAAGAGGTCATGGCCGAGGTTGCCAGTGGACACGAGCAATCCTGGCATAGCTCTCTCCACCAACTCCACACTCTTCCCCAGGAAAGGGGTTCAGCTCTTCTGTGGCATCCCCCCTGCCTCTCTCCTAACAAAGATTTTCTTCCACACACTGCAACCCTCTCCCGCCTTCTCCCCTGCTGGGTTTCCAGGGCTCTCTCCATCTCTCTTGTCAATCCCCTTACTCCTCCTGAAGGTTGTGGGTGAGGGTCCGAGAGGGGGAAACATCCAGGTCCAGGCGGTGGGGTGATTCCCAAACAGCTACCTCCCAGGAACCAGAGAGACAAGAGGGACATGAACATAAGTGCTCCTCCCCCCAAGAAAATGCCTCTGCTGTTGACTCCTAAATAACAGATGTCTGTCTGCATATTAATGAGATTGGACGAATAATTGGTGAGTTTTTCATTCAGTGTCAGAATGAACCCGGAGGCCTTATGTTCATGTACATAGACACCCACTCACCCCGGCTCTCCCTTTCCCCCAGAGCACAATGAGGCAGACGCAGATGCTGGCAAGCTTGACCCACAGAGGGGAGGGGCAGACAGGGGACTGGGAGGGGGTGTCAGCAGGAGGGAGACCTCGAGATCTGGGTTTGTCAGGTTTCTCCCACTTGATTGCCATCTCCCCGGCCCCCCAGGGGCATAAGCTTGCATTTGTGAGATTTCCCCACTCTGCAGAAGGGGCCCAGCGGAAGGTGGGAACCAGAGGGTAAAGAGGGTGGGGGGTGGAGGGGGGGACGCAGGCACTACTTAGGGGGCGAGCATCAAAGCCCTGGCCTCCTTCAGAGAGGTTGTGTCTCCCCTGAGCCTGGCATCTGCAGGCCTCTCACCCTGCTTCCTCTCCTGTGCCAGGGTGTGAGGTGGAAAACAGAGATTTTGGAGTCAGACAGCTACCACTTGCCAACAGGGTGCTCTAGTGCAAGTTACCCAACCTCTCGAGCCTCTCACTGTCCTTGTCTCTGAGAATACCTGCCTACCCTGCACGATGGGAAGGACGAAGTGAGACAGTGTCACATGTGTGACCTAGTGCTTGGTTCATAGTGGGTCACAACACATACTTGTCCTCTCCCCACCTATCCCCCCAAACACACCAACACCGTTCAGAACGGCTGCCCCTCCTGCCAGACCCACCCTGGTTAGGGCAGAGGTTCATTACAAGTTCAGTAGTTACCCTGGCTTCCTGGAAACGGAGGAAATGATAGAGAGGCAGGAACAGAGAAAGAAGCGATTCGATGGCCACAGGAGAGAAAACTGGTAGAAACCAAGGCCTGGAGTGGAAGGAAA